TCCGGCTCTGACTCGGGCCCCAGCCATCACTCCAGGCGGCCACGCCCACGGATGCACGCGTTTTGCAAGCCTGGGATGCGGCCTGACCCAGTGCCTTTGGCGTTCGGCTTCGACTGAATTGTTCTGGGCTTGGCTCCGTCTTTGCATCCACTCTGGGCGTTTGTTTTGCAGAAGCCAGTGTGAAGGAGGAGGCCGAGAGGTACATGGACGCGCTGGAGGGCAAGCTGCGCAGGTAGGGACGGCGACCCCCGCGTTCCAGACTCCACGCACGTCTGTGTCCTGTGTTCTGACGGCACAGGGTGAGGCCGAGCAAAGGCTAGCAAGTTCGTGACAGAAGAAGCAGGGGCCACACAAACACCTCCCGGCCCCTCCCCCTCTATTAAACGTAAACGGGTTAAAATGCCACACGTGTCCGGCCGAGATCAGGGCTCTCTCTCATGTTCTGTAAGGAGAGAGAAACCTTCGGTTTGTTTCATTGAGGTTCCCCGCCTTGGTCTGTTTTTCTTTTCTTTATTCGCGTCTCATGGACGCGGGCCCAGCTCCTGCCACAGGAGAATTCCCATCTCAGGGTTCTGTGTTGAGTCCTGATGCTGCCCCAGCATGACATTCCTGGTTGCTCACTCTTTTATTTTTAACCCAAGGACGAGTTCAGAGTTGGGACACGTCAGGGACACCGCGGCCCGTCCAGATGTTTCTGGTTTTGCAGACGGGGAAACCACCACCGGGGCTGCTTCTCGCCCAGGAAGCGGGTCTGAGCGCGTACGGCGTGCGGCTTCTCGGCCGGTCCAGCTTCGTGCAGACGGTCGCGCTGCTATTTTGGAAATTCTTAAGTTGCTCTTTAATCAGGCCGCGCCTAGACCAGTGATGGCGAACCTAGGACACGCGTGTCAGAGGTGACACGTGAACTCATTTTTTGGGTTGATTTTTCTTTGTTAAATGGCATTTAAATATATAAAATAAATATCAAAAATATAAGTCTTTGTTTTACTCTGGTTGCAAATATTAAAAAATTTCTCTATGTGACACGTCGCCAGAGTGAAGTTAGGGTTTTTCAAAATGCTGACACGCCGAGCTCAAAAGGTTCGCCGTCACTATCCTAGACCTTTCTCTGCTCAGATGATGCCGTCGCTGAAACACGGTGAGAGGCGATGAGGGGGGCGCCTCGCTGAGCCGTGGGCTCAAAAGGTTCGCCATCACTGAACTAGACCTTTCTCTGCTCAGACGATGCCGTCGCTGAAACACGGTGAGAGGCGACGAGGGGGGCGCCTCACCGAGCCGTGCTCTGCTCTGCGGGGCAAGCAGGTGCTGCCGGCGTCCCTCTGCTGCTTGGGAAGCAGGGTCTGACCGAGGGCTGGTACCTCCCGGCCTCGGCCCTGACGTGGGAGGAAGGTGGTCGTCAGAGAGCGTGGGGTCAGGAGGCCTGTGGGCCAGAGGCGCCCTCCGAGGAAATGGCTCCCCTCCTTAGCGAGGGGGATGCTCACCTGGGCTCCTGCTTAGAGAGGGGGGTGCTCACCTGGGCTCCTGCTTAGAGAGGGGGGTGCTCACCTGGGCCAGGTGTGCTCTGCACCCGCCGCCTCCTCTCTGGTTCCCAGACAGGTTTCTGCGTGTTCCTTTTAAAAATATTTATTTTTATTGATTTCAGAGAGGAAGGGAGAGGGAGAGAGAGACAGAAACATCCAAGATGAGAGAGAATCCTGGATGGGCTGCCTCCTGCACGCCCCCCGACTAGGCATGGAGCCCGCAACCCGGGCGTGTGCCCTTGACCGGGAATGGAACCGTGACCTCCTGGTTCCTATGTCTCAACCTCTGAGACATACCGGCTGCGCTTCCTGTAATAAATCTTAATACATACTTGTTCCCCCTAATGGTTGTGATTCTCTGCTGAAAGCTGACTGACATACTCATTAAACCTATTTTTCTCCTTGCTGCTTCCTTCTCTAATTTCATTAGAAGCCTGCCTTCTTCGATCTTTTAAAGGACAAATGGAAAATCTCTTCTAAATTTTTCTTTCATTTCTTAAAGAAAATCACACTCAGAGGGCCTTCCCTCTGAA